GTTATGAGGAAAATGAAAGACACGAATGAAAAAGAGAAACAGGTATCTTTTAAGGCATCTTGTAGGTATGTGATACAAATGTTGCTACATAAATCTGCTGCAACTGCTTTTGTTGGGTGAAGTAAAATAAGACGGATGAAAGCAGAAAAATCTATAACCTGCTGCAGTTTGGCAAAGTTGTAATTCTAATCATTACTTTAGCTATGAAAATAATACCTTACACTAAAGATAAGCATATTTCCTTCTAGTTATTAGAAAGAAAACCAGTATAAACACAAACTGGTTGGTCACACTAACAAAAACGTTGGAAAACAGAATCGGCCAACAAAACTCTGCATTTCTATAAAAATAAAGCTAGAAAAATATAATACACAAAACTGCAGTTTAATAGTGTTACAGACACTACAGTAGGGGTGCTGAAATATTTTTTTTAAAAGTCTATTTTCCCCCCTCGTTTACACTGGTGGACCAAAGTTAGTGATTTATAAAACTTGTCTCTGATTCTGTTCATCTGGATGTTTGAGAAACGTTTCATCTTCAGTCTCAGCTGACTGCAGGTTTCCAACCTTATAAACGGGACATTTGCATGATGACTGAAACTAGCAGCACTGAAGGAACAATGGGTTGGGAGGTCAGTTTCAACACTGACCAGTGAGCATTGGTCTCACTGGTCATGGATCATAGTGTTGCAGAATTGTTCTTGCTATCAGGATAACTGTGACCTCTCACGGTTGATCTGATATCCTCGTGTTGGTGTTGTTCCCAGATCATCATACTAAATGTTGTTCCAGGATCAACATTGCAAGTGACCAATCAGAATGTTGTGACGTCATACCTTTGCGACTTCGGGAAAAACCGGCGTAAAACAAAAAACTGTACTTAAGCTGCGTGAAACCGCCTCTGTCCGCCGATCAACGGACCCTGACCCTAACCCTAACCGTAACCCTTTAATAAACAGTAAGCAGAATTAATATTGTCCTTGCAACATTGGAATTTCATAAATTCACGAATGGCTTGGCGCGCAAAGGAATAACGTCACAACAATGTGATTGGTCACTTGCAATGTTGAACCTGGAACAACATTTTCATGATGGTCTGGGAACAACACCAACACGAGGATATCAGATCATCCGACCTCTCACACTGTCAGTGTTTTTATAAGCATAGCAGTCAGAGCGGGTGTACGCCTACCAGCTCACTGTGTCTTTGGTGTTTCGCTAGCTTAGCTTAGCTCGTAGCCGACTTGTTAGCACCATGGCTACTTCACCTGTCCCTCCTGCACTTTCCTGCTCATTGTGTCAGATGTTTAGTTACTCCTCGGCCTCCTTTAGCAGTAATGATATCTGTAACAAATGTAGCATATTTGCAGCTCTGGAGGCCAGGATTACTGAATTGGAGACTCTGATTCGAACCCTTCATTCACCCGTAGCTAGCCAGGCCCCTGTAGCTGGTGCAGCCGAAGATAGCGTAGGCCCCGCTAGCTGTTTCCCGGCAGACCCCAAGCAGCTGGGGAAAGAGGGCGGCTGGATGACGGTGAGGAGGAAGCATAGTCCTGAACAGAAGCCCCAGGTACACCACCAACCCGTTCATGTGTCTAACCATTTTTCCCCACTCGGCGACACACCCGCCGGGGGTCAAACTCTGGTAATTGGTGATTCTGTTCTCAGACATGTGAAGCTAGAGACACCGGCAACCATAGTCAATTGTCTTCCAGGGGCCAGAGCAGGCGACATTGAAGGAAATTTAAAACTACTGGCTAAGGGTAAACATAAATTCAGTAAAATCATAATTCACGTCGGCAGTAACGACACCCGGTTACGCCAATCGGAGGTCACTAAAATCAATATTGAATCGGTGTGTAACTTTGCTAAAACAATGTGGGACTCTGTAGTTTTCTCTGGTCCCCTCCCCAATCAGACCAGGAGTGACATGTTTAGCCGCATGTTCTCCTTAAATTGCTGGCTGTCTGAGTGGTGTCCCAGAAACGATGTGGGCTTCATAGATAATTGGCAAACCTTCTGGAGGAAACCTGGTCTTGTTAGGAGAGACGGCATCCATACCACTTTGGATGGAGCAGCTCTCATTTCTAGAAATATGGACAAATTTATTAAACTCCCCAAAATATGACTATCCAGAGTTGGGACCAGGAAGCAGAGTTGCAGTCTTACACGCCTCTCTGCAGCTTCTCTCCTCCTGCTACCCCCCCAAAAACCCATCTCCATAGAGACTGTGTCAGCTTCCAAAAAGACAAAAAACAAACTAAAAACCAGCAACAAACAACTTAAACATAAACAATCACAAAGAAAGAACAATACAGTATCCACATCAGAACCAAAGAGTAAAACAGTGAAATGTGGATTATTAAATATTAGGTCTCTCTCCTCCAAGTCTCTGTTAGTACATGACTTAATAATTGATCAACAAATCGATTTACTCTGCCTTACAGAAACCTGGTTGCAGCAGGATGATTATGTTAGTTTAAATGAATCAACACCCCCGAGTCATTCTAACTATCAGAAATCTCGAAGCACAGACCGAGGGGGAGGTGTGGCAGCAATTTTTCACACCAGCCTATTAATTAATGAAAGACCAAGACAGACTTTTAATTCATTTGAAAGCCTGATGCTTAGCCTCGTCCACCCCAGCTGTAAAACTCAGAAACCAGTCTTACTTGTTATCATCTATCGTCCACCTGGGCCTTACACAGAGTTTCTGTCTGATTTCTCAGACTTTATATCTAATTTAGTTCTGAGCTCAGATAAAATAATTATTGTGGGTGATTTTAACATCCATGTAGATGCTAAAATGACAGCCTCAACATGGCATTTAATCTGTTATTAGACTCAATTGGCTTCTGTCAAAATGTAAAAGAACCCACCCACCACTTTAATCACACTCTAGATCTTGTTTTAACATATGGCATAGAAACTGAACATTTAACAGTGTTTCCTGAAAACCCTCTCCTGTCTGATCATTTCCTGATAACATTTACATTTACAATAATTGATTACACAGTGGTGGAGAGTAGACTTTATCACAGTAGATGTCTTTCTGAAAGCGCTGTAACTAAGTTTAAGAATATAATCCACCCACTGTTATCATCTTCAATGCCCTGTACCAACACAGAGCAGAGCAGCTATCTGAACGCTACCCCAACAGAGGTCGATTATCTTGTTAATAATTTCACCTCCTCACTACGTACAACTCTGGATACTGTAGCTCCGGTGAAAACTAAGGTCTCTAATCAGAAGTACCTGACTCTGTGGAATAATTCTCAAACACGTAGCCTAAAGCAGACGACTCGTAATCTGGAGAGGAAATGGCATGTCACAAATTTAGAGGATCATCATTTAGCCTGGAGAGATAGTTTGTTGCTTTATAAGAAAGCCCTCCGCAAAGCCAGAATATCTTACTATTCATCACTGATTGAAGAAAATAAGAACAACCCCAGGTTTCTCTTCAGCACTGTAGCCAGGCTGACAAACAGTCAGAGCTCTGTTGAGCCAACCATCCCTTTAACGTTAACTAGTAATGACTTCATGAACTTCTTCACAAATAACATTTTTATCATTAGAGAAAAAATTACCAATAATCATCCCACAGATGTAATATTATCTACAGCTACTCTTAGTACCATTGATGTTAAGTTAGACTCTTTTTCTCTAATTGATCTTTCTGAGTTAACTTCAATAATTACTTCCTCCAAACCATCAACGTGTCTTTTAGACCCCATTCCTACAAAACTGCTCAAAGAAGTCCTGCCATTAATTAATGCTTCGATCTTAAATATGATCAACCTATCTCTAATAATCGGCTATGTACCACAGGCCTTCAAGCTGGCTGTAGTTAAACCTTTACTCAAAAAGCATCTCTAGACCCAGCAGTCTTAGCTAATTATAGGCCAATCTCCAACCTTCCTTTATATCAAAAATCCTTGAAAGAGTAGTTGTCAAACAGCTAACAGATCATCTGCAGAGGAATGGTTTATTTGAAGAGTTTCAGTCAGGTTTCAGAGCTCATCACAGCACAGAAACAGCTTTAGTGAAGGTTACAAATGATCTTCTTATGGCCTCTGACAGTGGACTCATCTCTGTGCTTGTCCTGCTAGACCTCAGTGCAGCGTTCGATACTGTCGACCATAATATCCTATTAGAGCGATTAGAACATGCTGTAGGTATTACAGGTACTGCGCTGCAGTGGTTTGTATCATATCTATCTAATAGACTCCAGTTTGTGCATGTAAATGGAGAGTCCTCTTCACACACTGAGGTTAATTATGGAGTTCCTCAGGGTTCAGTGCTAGGACCAATTCTGTTTACATTATACATGCTTCCCTTAGGCAGCATCATCAGAAGACATAGCATACATTTACACTGCTATGCAGATGACACCCAGCTCTATCTGTCCATGAAGCCAGATAACACACACCAATGAGTTAAACTGCAGGAATGTCTTAAAGACATAAAGACCTGGATGGCCGCTAACTTTCTGCTTCTTAATTCAGATCAAACTGAGGTTATTGTACTCGGCCCTGAAAAGCTTAGAAATATGGTATCTAACCAGATTCTTACTCTGGATGGCATTACCTTGGCCTCCAGTAACACTGTGAGGAACCTTGGAGTCATTTTTGACCAGGACATGTCCTTCAACGCACATATTAAACAAATATGTAAGACTGCTTTCTTCCATTTGTGCAACATCTCTAAAATTAGAAATATCCTGTCTCAGAGTGATGCTGAAAAACTAGTTCATGCATTCATTACTTCCAGGCTGGACGACTGTAATTCATTATTATCAGAAAGTCCTAAAAACTCCCTGAAAAGCCTTCAGCTAATCCAAAATGCTGCAGCAAGAGTCCTGACAGGGACTAGAAAGAGAGAGCAGATTTCTCCTGTTTTGGCTTCCTGTTAAATCCAGAATTCAAAATCCTGCTCCTCACATACAAGGTCTTAAATAATCAGGCCCCATCTTATCTTAATGACCTTGTAGTACCATATCACCCTATTAGAGCACTTCGCTCTCGCTCTGCAGGCCTACTTGTTGTTCCTAGAGTATTTAAAAGTAGAATGGGAGGCAGAGCCTTCAGTTTTCAGGCCCCTCTTCTGTGGAACCAGCTTCCAGTTTGGATTCAGGAGACAGACACTATCTCTACTTTCAAGATTAGGCTTCAAACTTTCCTTTTTGCTAAAGCATATAGTTAGGGCTGGACCAGGTGACCCTGAATTGTCCCTTAGTTATGCTGCAATAGACGTAGGCTGCCGGGGATTCCCATGATGCATTGAGTTTTTCCTTTCCAGTCACCTTTCTCACTCACTATGTATTAACAGACCTCTCTGCATTGAATCATATCTGTTATTAATCTCTGTCTCTCTTCCACAGCATGTCTTTTATCCTGTCTTCCTTCTCTCACCCCAACCAATCACAGCAGATGGCCCCGCCTCTCCCTGAGCCTGGTTCTGCCGGAGGTTTCTTCCTGTTAAGTTTTTTCTTTCCATCTGTCAACAAAGTGCTGCTCATAGGGGGTCATATGATTGTTGGGTTTTTCTCTGTATCTATGAAGCGCCTTGAGGCGACTTTTGTTGTGATTTGGCGCTATATAAATAAAATTGAATTGAATTGAAAAGGAATAGTAAAAACTTGCATCAGATGTGGCCTACTTCATATAGTGAATCATATAAGGCTTATATGATTTACTCATGTGGCCACTTTCTCATTACTTTCAGATATTGTTCCAGGAAGTATCCAAAACATACAAGTTTCATTTATCAAATTTTTCTAGGGATCTTATATCTGTTTTCACTCTTGTATGCTTTTCGTACAAGTTTCACACAAGACAGATACAAACTTTATAAGATTTATAAATATCTTTTCCATATGGGAAAGCCTGCTAAAAGGTAGTGATGGGATTTTTGGCTCTTTTTAGAGAACCGGTTCTTTCAGCTCCGAACCGGCTCTTCAGGTTGTTTTGTTGCTTTAATTAATTTATTATTAACAATAATATAAAATTTTGCACAAAAGGAATTACTAATGTAAAAGAAAAAGTGGTTTTATCTATGTATGTTTATATATAAATATATGCGGTGCCCCCTAGAGACAAAACACGTACAAACTCCAAAAAGCACATACAAACTTGGTACTTCCTGGCTTGTGTAGCCACTAGGTAACAAACGCTCACCACTGCGCCCAGCATTCTGGAGCACCGCTGTTGTCTTTTGTACAGTTTTTACATGTTTTGGAGTTTGTATGTGCTTTGTCTCTAGGGTACCGTAAATATACTTTTATTTATTCAATCCACATAAAATGTAATAAATAAATCATATAATACAAAAACCAACTATTCACATTTCAACTTTTAACTATTAAAATTTTCAGCTTTTTCCTTTTAAACAAATTTAAAGTGAAACAACACAAAACACTGCAAACCACAACACAATTAAATATAAATTATAATATGAAAACAAAAAGAAGATGCATATTCTCTGTCATATGGACCTGCATGAATAAACTTTCTGAATCCTTTATCATCTGCAACTGAAAATAGTTGTGGATGATTACTATACCTTTCTAATGTGACGTTGTTGTCCCTGGCTCTCTTTCTCTCTCCTTCCCTCCCGCTCTGTTCCTGTGCTACTGCGAGTGTAACTACTGCCCCTCCCCCCTCTGCCCAGTGCAAAGCACACGGCTTGCATGCGGAGTGAAGCGGAAAAAAGTGCGAGAGAGAGAGAGAGAAAGAAAAACCCCACGGCTCGCGATAAGGAGCATCGTTCACTTCAAAGATCCGGCTCGTGTCGTTTGCAACCGACACATCACTACTAAAAAGCTCTTTACCACATGCAGAGCATCATCTTACGGCTTGATGGTGTCGATCTCAGCAGGACACCAACCCTTAATCTCACACGTCTTGATCATGGCATTAAAAGGAACACACCTCCCTGTAGCAATTCCTGAGTAGAAAAGAAAATACAGGTACAAGGTCCAAAGTAAAACACTTCAACATATTAATGCACATAAATCTAGTCATCAACAGATCATTTTAACGTGAAATATTGTTACTGCATGATAAAGACAAAGTATCTCACCATAACTTGCCGGCTTATTGATGTGCTTTGTGCAGTTTCTGTCGTCTGTACAAAGAAACTTTCTTTTTTCACTCTGGATAAAATACAGTGACATGTGAAGAGAACATTAAAGCTGCATCACAGCTGTTTTACAGTACAGTGTTTAGTTTTTTACATCCCTCAAATACGTGCATACATTTTATAATTAATTTTTAATTTTCTCATCATGTGCAGCAGTTGTATTGACACCGACGTCTCTCTAAATCCACTCACATAGCATAGCATAGCATAGCATAGCATCTTTATTTATAACGCACTTTACATCCAACTATGTTGACCAAAGTGCTACAAATATAAAACAGAGAGGAAACAGTTTAAATTACATATAAAATATCTTAAAATTAAAAGTAATATAATTAATAAGAAACGTATTAAGAGACATCAACAAGTCCTGCTGTGCTAAAAGCCAAGGTAAATAAATATGTTTTAAGACGTGATTTAAAAACAGATAAGGAAGGTGCCTGTCTAACATGTAAAGGCAACTCATTCCACAATTTTGGTGCTGCCACAGCAAACGCCCGATCCCCTCTGAGCTTACGATTAGTCCTGGGCACACTCAGGAGGAGCTGGTCTGCCGACCTGAGGGACCGGGAAGGTATGTATGGATGAAGAAGCTCAGAGAGGTACACAGGGGCAGCATTGGACAAACATTTAAAAACAAATAAAAGCATCTTAAAATGGATCCTAAAATGCACGGGCAGCCAATGAAGTGAATATAAAACTGGGGTGATATGCTCGTATCTATGAGTGCCAGTTAAAAGGCGTGCAGCAGCATTCTGGACTAACTGCAGTCGAAAAACAGAAGACCGACTCACCCCAAAATAAAGAGAATTACAGTAATCCAGCCGAACGGTTACAAAAGCGTGGATTACTGTTTCAAATTGCTGTCTCGTAAGAAAGTGCTTAATTTTGGCCAGTTGCCTCAGATGAAAGAAACTAGACCTTACAACCAACCCAATCTGGCTTTCAAGCTTAAGCTCAGGATCCATTTTAAAACCCAGATTAACAATCTCTGGTTTACAGAATGATTTCAGGGATTGCAAATCAACACACGGAACAGCAGTGGAGGCAGGTCTGAACACCATTACTTCAGTTTTAGAACCATTAAAACAAAGAAAGTTTAGCGCCAACCACGACTTGACGTCCTCCAGACATGTTTGTAAACGATTTACAGACGACCCATCTTTCTTTTTAAGAGGAACATAAATCTGGCAGTCATCTGCATAACAGTGAAACGAGAGTCTGTGTTTTCTAAAAATTGAGCCCAATGGAAGTAAATAAAGTGACAACAGGATAGGGCCCAGAATGGAACCCTGTGGTACTCCGTGAGACAGCGGAGCTCGGGAGGACTCACAGTTTCCTAAGCAAACTGAAAAGGTTCGGTTTGTTAAGTAAGACCTGAACCATTTCAGAGCCACACCTGTTATACCGACACACTGCTCCAAACGTGAGATTAAAATTTCATGGTCTACAGTGTCAAATGCAGCAGTTAAATCGAGTAAAATAAGAATGACACTTTCACCAGAATCACATGATAAAAATATATCATTAAAAATTCTTAAAAGTGCTGATTCAGTGCTATGCATTGCTTTAAAACCAGATTGAAAAATCTCCTGAACATTTTGTGCATTCAAGTATGAGATCAATTGGTCATATACAATTTTTTCCAAGACTTTAGATAAAAAGGGCAGCTTAGATATTGGTCTAAAATTCTCAACAGCGTTTGTATCTAGCCCAGGTTTCTTAAGAAGTGGTTGCACAATTGCATCTTTGAAATTCTTTGGAACCACACCTGAAGTAAGGCTGCTATTTAAAATGGTTAAAATGGTTGGACCTATGGTAGAAAAAACTTCTTTCAGAAAAAGGGGAGGGATAGGATCATAAGGTGAGCCTACAGGCTTTAAATGAACTACCACCTCCTGTAGCTGAGCAAGAGTAACCGACTCAAACTGTTGAAAGACAGCTGAGCAAACTGGAAGATCAGAGGGGTCAGATGTGGGCAAAATAATCTGCGCCCTAGCCGAGGCTACCTTGTTTATAAAGAAGTGCAGAAACCTTTCACACATTTCAAGTGAAGGCTCAAAACTAAGAGCAGAGGGAGGGCTTAAAATAGTCTCAATTGACTTAAACAATATGTGTGGTTTCTGATAATTCACCATAATAATATTTGCAAAGTGTTTCCGCTTTGCTTCTTTTATTGTAAGCTGATATAAGGCCCAGCACTCTCTTAAACTTTGTAAAGAGACCTGTAAGTTATCTTTTTTCCATCTCCGCTCAGCCCTACGACATTCACGCCTCGCAGCACGGGTTTCATCGTTCAACCAGGGTTCAAGCTTTGTCTTAGGATGCTTAATTTTTAGAGGAGCAACAATATCCAAGACAGTCTGACAAGTGGTATGAAACCAAAAACTGAGTTCCTCTACGTATTGGAGTGTCTCAGGAATGGAGAACTGATTATAGTAGGTGGAGAACCGTGCTGCCGTGGAAGAATTTAACAAACGAGATGTCTTTGCAGGGACAAGCCCCCTGAATTCATTTCTAGATAAAGAGATGTCAAACAGAACCGGCATATGATCAGAAAAAACAGGATCGGAGACTTTCAGATTAAAAACAGGCAATGAGTAGGCTAAAACCAGATCGAGAGTGTGGCCACACTGTTGCGTGGGTGCAGACACACATCGAACTAAATTAAAGGAATCAGTAAGATTCAAAAAGTCTTTAACCATGGGCTTATCTGGACAGCACACATGAATATTAAAATCCCCAACAATAAGAAAGGAGTCATATTTTATCGTGACTTCAGTTAGAAATGCAGCAAATTCCTTTATATCTTTATATCACATCACAGCAGCTGGTTAAAGTAATGGAGCGCTGTCCTTTTTTGTACAGGGTGAGATACTACTGCTTTTTCCAAAAGGGAAAGCATTGTGTTTACAACTAGCACGTAGCCAACATTGGCTTTGTGTATCTGTAAAGTAAATGAGCCCCAGGACTGAGTGATGATCTGTTAGTCGTGGTGATGATGACTTACGTCAGGACAGTATCCTTGGACTTGGTTCTCTGTAGTAATCAGTTTAGTGATGATGCAGAACACCGAAGCTCCCTGCAGGAGATACAAATGCAGTCTGTCAGTATCTCATCTTCACTCAGTCAGTCCTTACATTCGTCCATACACACACACCTGTGTAGGAGTGACGTAGTCTGCTACATCCATAACCTTGTTATTGTAGATTCCAAAGCCTTTGACCTTGGTCATCACAGAGGATTCAATCGCCGTGTCTCTAATCTGGTAGGCCTTCTCAGTGAGAAACACCCATCTGAAACATTACATAGAGAGTGACGCATGCCAAAATGTAATCATAAGCATCATTATACTTAAAAAAACAACCCTTCTTGCCACTAGCTACAATCAGGGATAGTGCACTGAAAATGCTCGCTGTAAGACACTACAAAGGAATTCAGTTAGATCTGCTAATCTGTGATCATTAGCTCAGAGTTTTCTTTTCAGAATAATTAAGAGTTGAGGTCTTTTGATTGGAAATAAATAATGAAATGAATGACCTATTGAGAAGTCACTATGAGAATTTGCAGAGCAGACAAGTGTGATTACTCTCATATTATTCTCATTATTCTCAGTGTGATTTAGCCTCTAGTGAGGCAGTATAAAGATCAAAAATCCACATTAAGAAACAGAAGTTGTTAAATGTGAGACTTCAGCCAGGAGAACAGGATTCATACTACCAATGGAAACCATGTTTTCTGACAGAGTTCACTAAGTATTCAGGTTTATTGGATTCTTACCTTTGGTGCTTGTTTGCTGTGGTGTGTGCAGCAAAACTGTCAGTTTAATAAAACATCTTGTTTAGGTCTAAAATGAACCCTTACACAGTTTTGACTGCATGTTAGAACGGATGGTTTATGGGCGTCCGTTCCCACCAAAGCCATTTGGACTTATTGCATGTTCTACTTACAGAACTGCAAGACGTCACCTGAGAGTTTGGAATTTTTCAACTTTAAAAAAAATCTGGCGACCCTCTGAAATGCTTTGTACAGGCCTTTTCATCGCTTAACCTCCTAGGACCTGGCGTCCACATATGTGGACATCACATTTTGGGGTTTTTAGGCTAAAATACTCAATTTTGCTCTACATGGGCCTGACATCCACTTACGAGGACATTATACTGCTACTGTTCTATCAAAATTTAAAACGAATATCCTCATATGTGGCTCTTATTTTTCTTAAAAACAAAAATAAGGTTAAAAAAGAATCTGGTAATTCTTTGTTTTTACATTCATTGGGCCCAAATATGTCCAAATATCAAAGAGAAATTAAAAATACATGTCATGGAAGAGTTGGGGTCTTAGGAGGTTAAAAACCTTTTGTGTTATGTTAAATAAATAAATAAAAACAGAACGTGATACTCATGCTCAGTTTTGGCTTCAGTCAACAGCAGCAGCTAATATCAAATTAGAAATGGAGTCTACTAATCCCTAACATCGAGATATCATGAGCTGATTCTGTAGCAAGATAACTTTTTACGGGGTGCATGCCCATTCCTTCTAACCTCTGGGTTTGGGACAGGCATCAGTGGCTACTGAGCAACCATGTCGTAGACTGAAGTGAAGACGTTAAAGATCTGAACATTGTTGGCATCATCTGGGAAGCTGAGCTAACCACAAATGACCGGAGTCGTTGGAAGTCATTAGTTATCCTATGTGCCAATCGGTGTAGGAGAGACTAAGTCTAAGAAGGAATCGCTAGCATAAACAATTCAGTTCAGTTTTCTTCATCTATTAGTGTTTTTTTCTGTAGTTTAACTAATCGGTGTGTCTCATATGGCTTCATGTACAGATAAAGCTGAGTATCATCTGCATAGCAGTAATAATGTAAAATAATGTAAATATGGCCTGTATTTATATAGCGCTTTTCTAGTCCCTAAGGACCCCAAAGCGCTTTACACATCCAGTCATCCACCCATTCACACACACATTCACACACTGGTGATGGCAAGCTACATTGTAGCCACAGCCACCCTAGGGCGCACTGACAGAGGCAAGGCTGCCGGACACTGGCGCCACTGGGCCCTCTGACCACCACCAGTAGGCAACAGGTGAAGTGTCTTGCCCAAGGACACAACGACCGAGACTGTCGAGAACCTTCCGATTACAAGGCGAACTCCCAACTCTTGAGCCACGATGGCCAGACAACTGGTCTCAGCACAGAACCCTGTGGAACTCCATAATTAACCTCGGTATGTGAAGAAGACATTTACATAAACACACTGGAGTCTGTTACATAGACATGATTCAAACCACTGCAGTGGCCTTCATACCCACGGCATGTTCTAATCTGTGCAGTACAATGTTGAGATCAGCGATGGTCTACCAGGACATGCACAGGCATGAGTCCACTGTCAGAGGCCGTACGATTATTCAGTATTTTCACTAGTGCTGTTTCTGTGCTGTGATGAGCTCTGACTGACTTCAACAAAACCATATATCTACAGATGAACAGTTGTTTTACAACTACTCGTTCAACAATTGATAAAAGGAAGGTCAGAGATATATAAGACAGCTGGTCACGTGATATTAAGAGAAGTTAGGGAGTAAAGATATTTTGATCATATTTAAGATAAAGGGATTAGTTAATGGTGGGATGTCTTTGAGCAGTCTTGTAGGAATGGGGTCTAAAAGATATGTTGGAGGAAGTAATCAAATTACTCAAACAATCTAAGAAAACGAGTCTAAATAAATATCAGTAGTAATGAAAGTTTTGGACATAATGTCTGTGAGATGGTCATCAATATTTCTTTCTTTAATGGTTAAAATGTTATCTGTGAAGAAATTGATGGAGTGGTTACTGTTTAAGGATAAAGGAATGCTGGGCTGAACAGCGCTCTGAGTTTTCATCAGCCTGGTTACAGCTCTGACGAGAAACCTGGAGATGTACTCATTTACTTCACTCAGTGATAAATAAGTCCTATCTTCACTGATGGCCTTAAAAAGAAAGAAAAAACGAATTTCTAAATTAGTGAGATGCCATTTGCTCTCTAGAGCTATCTGTTTTAAGGCCCGTGTCTGTAAGTTGTACAAGGAAGTCAAGCACTTCTGATTTGAGGTTCTCTTTTTTTTTCTTGTAGTCCATTTTTGCACATGTAAACTTTATTAAGAAAAGATCAGACATTAAACAGTATTCACTAATGTCCATTTCCTATGCCTTGTGTCAGAATGAGGCCCAGAGTGTGATTAAAGCCAACTGGGTCTAATAATAGATTAAATGCAGTGTTTAGGCTGTTGATTTCAGTACCTATATGAAAATTTAATCACCCACTATAATTATTTTATCTGAAATGAGCATTAAATCAGGTAAAAGAGAATTCAAATAGAAACTCTGATTAAAGGGGATAAACAACAGAAAGCAACAAACAAAACTATTTTTAGAGTTTTTTAATTAGTGTATTCGAGGCTTAGAGTCAAGCTTCCAAATGTAAACTCCTGCTTCCTGTCTGGGTCTTTGGTTATTTCATGAGCTGGAGTAAAAGATAGCTGCCACCAGTCCTCCCCGGCCTGTGCTTGAAGGAGGAAACATGGCTAGCTTCCAGCATGACAGAGACTCCAACAGAAATTGGGCATAAAAAAAGTGGCTTCTCACAGTAACTGGTTGGAAAAGCATTAGTGAGGAAGCTAAGCTCAGAATGTTCACATCAGCACCTCAGTGTTGGAGACTGTGATTAAAAAAAGGCAGGGTAAGTGTGGACACCACATGCTCAGAGGCTAATTACTTCTTAATTGCAAGACATTAGCCAGTGGGACTGGACAATCCTGTTTGTTGACCTCTACAGTCACAGGAAAATATGTACAAGTCTTTTCAGAACCAGAGGATTCTGCCCCCTGCTGGCTACTACAAATAATTCGTGTTCAAGGTACTTTCAGACCAAGAAGCTATTTCCATTTTTCATCAGCTATGGACCAAAAGAACAATTCTGACTGTTCTCCACAGTATTGCTATTATTATTTTTACCTTTATGAAAACAGGAAAACGACAAACTCTTCACATTAAAAATCTCTTTTACCTGGCCAAGACGGACAGCAGGACAATCATGCGTTGCATAAACTAATAGAGCATGCATATCCATACAACAGTAAAGCACAGTCAAAGAGCCTGAATTAACTGCATTCAAGTTGTTTACATTTACTTTAAATTCATTGAGTGAGACCAGTTGGTTCCCCAGCTGATTCCAGGAGGAAGGAGCTGCATGCTCTTTTTCCAAATTTACTGTGAATCTCTGAGAAAGAAGAACAATTCTTGGCACCCAAAACAGTAGCTTCCCATACTTTTTTGATGGGTGCTAGTTTGTAAATAAGAATAGCCTGATAAATAAGAACATACCAGAGGTTGAGTCTACGACATAACCACCCAACCCGACAGTAAGAGGTTTAGAGTGTGTAAGGAAGCTCACGATGAACAGAATCCAGCATAAGCAGAGCATGCATGCATACAAATCACATCTTTCTTGCCTCAAATGACGAAAAGGATCAAGTTTCAATTTCAATTTTTTCACCAGTTGCTGACGTTTAAATTAGAGCGAGTAATCAGTTGTAATTCCTAAGTACTCGGACTGAGACACTAACTCTCAGAGCCACAAACTGTAGTAATACATGAAGGTTTGTTAGATTTACAGTACATCTGTATGAAGACCAAACCTAGTACACTGACTAACAATGGCTCGTGAGCTCAGTTTCATGATCATGACCATTCAAAATGCTACGTTCAAATGAGCCAAATCAACTTTCTGGGGTTTCCTTACTTGGATGATTAAGCATGCTTCGTTAGCTTTCTTTTACAGCTGAGTGAATGGGTTACTTTTCCTAGTAACAAAGAGGTTTTATGTAAAACATGAACGATGTATTTAACCAACACAACTGTGGCTTTATAAAGATAATAAAATATAAAGTAATAAAGTGAAGAATTAAACCTTCCTAATGTAACAACTAATCCAGAACACTGAACAGCAAAGCCTTTAAAATACATGTTTGTGTTATGATGTTTTATTCAACCAGATAAATGTCGGTACTGTCCAAGTCCAAGCAAACACTCACCCAATGAAGTAAGTGATGATGAGGAGCTGGACAACACGGTTGATGATTCCAATAGTCCAACTTTTCACAACCACCGACTTAGTGGTTTCATAGGTGAAGAAGTCTGTGATGCAAGACCACATCCTGGCAGTATTTGTGCTTGACAAGCCTTTGTTAGAAAAATAATTCCACTGTGTGAAGAATCGAAATAAAAAAAGCTGGAAGTTGACTCCAGATGATCTGAAAATAGGAAAGATAGCGACAGATTTAGATCCAAGACAGAACGCAGGAGCTGCAGCTCATCACTGTGTGAAGGAGCTCAGTCACTTTTAATTTCAGCTGCTCCTCTTCACTCGTTACTTCAGGCTTCATGTGTCGTGAAAAATGAGTAATTAGTACGAGCAGCACATTTAGCAGCGCCTTTCTATGCCATTACTCCTCTCTTCATGCAAAATACCAATCTCGTTTCCTCTCTCTCTCTCTCTCTCGCTCTGTCTCTCTCGCTCTCTCTCTCTCTCTCTCTCTCTCTCTCTCTCTCTCTCTCTCTCTCTCTCTTCCTGTCTCTGCTCAGAGCATGATGGACATTTTCTGTGTGAATCAAATTGTGATGTTGTAAAAGGTTTTAATCCTATTACTGAGAAAATGTGTCCAGTTTCATTACTTAGATAAATGTTATTATTGTTTTTACCTTCATTTCAGCAGGAACAGCAAACATGTGGGAACATATGTCAAACTGAATATGAGTTTTTGATTGTAATGAGACAAATCTAGTTAAATAGTAATAATTATAATGATAATACATTTTATTTGAGGGCACCTTTCAGAAACCCAAGGTCACCTTACAAAAAACACAATTAATAAAAGGAACAATAGTCATAAAATACATAAAATAAGTTAAAATTACAAAACAGAGCGTGACAACAGATAAAATCAGCATTAAAGCAAATAAACCAGTTCAAACAGATGTGCTTTGAGCTGTGTCTTAAATGTGAAGAGGGAGTCAATATTTCTTAGTACAGGAGGAAGAGAGTTCCAGAGCCGAGGAGCAGAGCGACTGAAAGCTCTGCTCCCCACAGTGATGAGATGTGAGGATGGAACAGTAAGATGAATAGCAGATGATGATCTAAGAGGGCGGGAAACAGTGGTGATATGGAGCAGGTCACACAAATATGAAGGAGCAGATTTATGGAGACACTTGTATGTAAGAAGTAAGATTTTAAAGTTTATCCTGGCTTCTACGGACAACCAGTGAAGCTGCTGAAGAACTGGGGGAATATGAACACTTAACGAAGTGCAAGTTATGACCCGAGCTGCAGAATTTTGAAGAAGTTGGAGTTTATGAAGGGACTTTTTAGGGAGACCAAATAGGAGGGAATTGCAGTAATCAATACGGGACGTAATAAGACTATGAACAAGGACGGCAGCAGCATGGGGAGGAAGGAAGGGGCGTAGTCGGTTAATATTACGTAAGTGGAAGTAAGCAGACGGGTTATGTAATTAATGTGAGACTGGAATGAAAGAGTATTATCAAGTATGACACCCAAACTCTTAACCTGAGGGGAGGGAAGGGTGGGAGAATTTTCAATGTTAATGGAAAAACTGTGGGATTTGGATAAGATAGATGGTGAACCAACAAGTAAAACTTCAGTTTTATTACTGTTGAGTTTGAGGAAATTGGAGGAGAACCAGGGTCTAATCTCAATAAGACAGTTTGAGAGGGAGGAAGGTGGGAGGGATGAATTGGGTTTAGAAGAAATGTAGAGCTGGGTGTCATCGACATAACAGTGAAAATTTATATTATATTTTCGGAATATATAACCAAGAGGGAGCATGTAAGTAATGAATAAAAGAGGTCCCAATACTGAACCCTGGGGCACACCAGCAGACACAGGATAGAGAGTTGAAGAATGGGATTTAAATTGGATAAACTGAGTGCAGTCTGAGAGATATGAGGTAAACCAGGCAAGGGGGGTGTGACTAATACCAATGGAAGCTAACCGGTTCAGGAGAATATTGTGAGAAATGGTATCAAACGCCGCACTAAGATCAAGAAGGATGAGGATGGATAGGAGACCAGAATCAGCTGCCATCAGAAGGTCATTGGTAATCCTTAACAAAGCAGTTTCTGTGCTGTGATTGGGGCAGAAACCAGATTGAAATCGTTCATAGAGATTATGGTCATTGAGATGTAAATGAAGCTGGGCGGCGACAACTTTTTCAAGAATTTTTGAAATGAAGGGGAGATTTGATATTGGGCGAAGATGATCAAAGTTATTGGGGTCTGCACCAGGCTTTTTGAGAGTTAGGATAACAGAAGCCTTTTTCAGTGCTTCAGGAACAAGTCCAGTGTTCAGGGAGGAATGAATAATATTGGTTATGAGAGGAGCTAACGAGGGAAGACAGGCTTTAACTAACACAGTAGGGAGAGGGTCAAGTTGACAGGTTGATGACTTAGATTTTTTAATGAGATTAGATACATCAGTTATGGGGGGAAGAGTAAAGCTTGAAAATAACTGACAGGAAGACAGTGGGGACCATTTTTAAAAAGATCCTTCAAATGGTTCTTTAAAAAACATTTTAAATCTTTCAAAATAAAATGTATCATAAATTGAATTTGAGTAGGGTAAAAATAAATACGAGCACAGCATAGACATATATTAATGGTTTATTGTCATTTTGCAGTTACCAAAAGACAAAAAGGCATTTTAACCCTCAGCACAACATCACTACTAATACATGTCACATATTAGTGTTTTAAACAGTAATAATTAAATATATTTGCTATACTATAAATAAATATATATAAATACTATATCTACAGATAACACAACAATTAATGCATATATTGTTTAATTAATAAAACATCAGAAAGTGATAAAACACATTAGAAATAGCAATAGCTTCATAACAGACCAATAAATCAACACATTTTCATCAGCAGATGTTTGCATGTTCAGTAAAAACATTTCAACAACAAGTTTATGATTAAAATGATCAATGAACTTCAGCCTTACGTTATGTAATGTACGTTTCATGTTGTACTCATGGTCCTTTGTTAGTCCAGTTTAGGACAATGTCTCTGACGTATGTATCATATCAAATATATGTCATATCAAAACAAGCCCACACCTGCAGTTGTTTCAGTTTTTCACAGGTGTTTCCTGTCAGCTGGTCAACCTCACTCAGGCGGACATCCATATCAGCCAACCAAACGACAAGTTCCTCCCTTTGTGCTTCAAATCCCTCCCACTCTGAGACAAGGAGCTGAAAGAGAGAGAAAAGAGTCAATTATAAAGAAGAGAGAAAAGTGAAACCCTCCTCAGAAGGTCTGACTCGCATACCTGCAGTTGACCTGTGATGGACTCCAGTTTGGCGTTCACGTCATCCCTCGCCGATGCCAACAGCCGAGTCTGCAGGGTGCCCTGGAAGAGCTGAGTTAATGTTCGACTCCTCCTGGTCAGGCTCTCCAGCTGGATGACCCGAGGTCTCCCCTCTCGCCACTGCCTCTGAACACAGAAACACAAATTGCATCTGAAGCAGGAGGTGCAGATGTTTTTTGCTATTCTTTTCTAAATCCAGGCTAGATCACGTGGAGGTATTTGGAAAACTTTTTTGGCCAGCGGACGACTGTTGTCTTGCAGAAAGTCAAATCAAACATATGCGATACACAATCAATTCACAAGAACACATTATAAAAAAATAAGTCCAGTTCTTGCCTGATTTCAAATGAATTCTGCATCAAAACAGGGTGACAGAAGTAAAACGAGTGCACAAAGCCTCACTTTGTACAAGCCTGCTATTACAGTTCTCCTCTATGCAGACGACTTTCCTGTTTTCAAGGCACAACTTGGATCTGCTGTACGAATCTTATGGATACACACTAAATGAAACAATAGTGTGCATGACTCCAGATTCTGATCCCTCATCCTAATATGGTCCCAACATAGCAACAGCAATAAAGCAAATGTTGAGGCTTCAAAATACAAAGTCCATAAACCAATGGCTGACATGGGTTTTATCATAAGGGTGATAAATATACAGATTTCAGTCTGTCTTAGAGATTTGATGTTCATTTACCTGCAGATGCACTATACGTACCTGCTCCATGGTTTTTCACAACATTTTGCACATCACTATTTAATACAGGAAGTAGGTGGACTAAAACAAGTCATCTTTCTTTGTGAGAGGACCATATTAATGAAACAAACCTCAATGACATCATAGGGATCCCTAAAGATGCTCCTGCTGCTTCTCTTCCTCCTCATCCTAAGCTTCCTTCTCCTTGTCCTCAGCTTCCATACAATTGTAATTCAACCTAATTGTGTTTCTCCCCCTCCTCTTCCTCATTTTGTTGGAGCTGTGAACACAATTAATGTGAATCTGGATTAATTTGTGCAAACAAGAAAAATCTACAGCTTTTTGGTCAGAGGTGGTCTTGTGATTTAAGCCGGGTAGAGTAGATTTATGTGTTGATGCTACCTGCTTCAGCTCTGGCTGCTGAGTGATATTTACACCCTGGCTGGATTACAAACTTTAACCATGTGCTGAACTTTGGCCCAGCGTTGATACCTCTTGTTAGTATAACGACCTCTTCTTAGCTTGTATGTATAATGGTGGATAAATGAAATATACAAAGAAAATTTAACTATATTACAAAAGAACATTAGCTTGGAAACATCAAATGACCAGAGCATAACTTGCCAACTAGTCCAAAAATAAGTTATGCAGGTACAGTCAAAGACACACCTTCTCATGTCACATTTCTATTCATTTCTATATTAGACAATAAAGAGTTATCTAATCTAATTATTCATTCAAAACACTTATGCATAGCTGTATTTTATACAGCTCATACAGAATTCAAAGTGCAGGTTCATGTGAGTATTTAATGTATGGCTCAGATCTACAGAATTTCAGAGTTTCTAGAGCAGACACAGAGCTCACGCCACAACAGGCTTCAGGCGCCATTTTAGTGACTTTAACAATACAGTGGGGCAAAAAAGTATTTAGTCAGCCACCGATTGTGCAAGTTCCCCCACTTAAAATGATGACAGAGGTCAGTAATTTGCACCAGAGGTACACTTCAACTGTGAGAGACAGAATGTGAAAAAAAAATCCATGAATCCACATGGTAGGATTTGTAAAGAATTTATTCGTAAATTAGGGTGGAAAATAAGTATTTGGTCACCTCAAACAAGGAAAATCTCTGGCTCTCACAGACCTGTAACGTCTTCTGTAAGAAGCTTTTCTGTCCCCCACTCGTTACCTGTATGAATGGCACCTGTTTGAACTCATCATCTGTATGAAAGACACCTGTCCACAGCCTCAAACAGTCAGACTCCAAACTCCGCCATGGCCAAGACCAAAGAGCTTTCGAAGGACACCAGGAAAAGTATTGTAGACCTGCACCAGACTGGGAAG